TCCCTAACAGTTTGTGTTGTAAACCCACTTGATTACGTTTTAGCGTCTAAGTTATTAGGATAAGGATTAACTAAAATAACTTTCTATTAGCTAGTTTAGACGTATAAGCAATTGTCAACGTTTGCTTATGTTGCCTTGTTCATTTGAAAATACTTTCTTAAAGGAAAGTATATTCATGATGAACCGTAGTTTTTAAATGTCAAAATCTTTCTTGATCGGAATGTACACTAGACTCAGATTAAAATTGAGTGACGATGGAATTAATTAGTTTTTGAATATCTGCACAATTTCTCAAAGGATATTTTCATTGTGTTTATGCCGAATTCCTTTTGTCCCCAAATACTGTCCTCCAAAAATTTTCAATTTGTTGCTAGACTTGAGGTTTTTATAAATTCTCTTATTTTATTTTCATTTTATGACGATTTATGTCTAAATTGTTTTCGACATTAAAAAATTTTAGGTGCGCTCATATTTACATGTAGTTTAACTAACTATGAGAAATCTTTAATGTTTTATACTTTGGAAGGTCTTCCATATGTATGGTTTATTTCATCGAGTTTAATCAATCTTCATCCCAATACTTACACTTTTGCCTTTTTTAAAAGCCCTCAAGCACCCCCTCGCGCCTATCTACCCTCATGGCAAGCAGCAGCTATGCTTTACTTAATCCGTCCACCACTAGCCTTCCGTGGGCCTTACCCTTGGATCCCACTTGCTTCGCTCTCTTCACCCAGATGCCTCTTGAAGGAGTCACCGGCTTTTCCGTTCCTGAACCCAGCTTACCAGGAGCTGGTCCCGCTATTGGACTGAGTAAATCTGATGAGCCGACCTCGGAGGCTCTTCGCTCTGTTTGGCAATCAACCTGGGATGCCCTACTATCTAATACGGCACAAACTGGACTCGCATCAAATATTTCATTGCCTGGGTGTCGTTCAACTAGTTCTAACACCGTAAGCTCATCCTCCTGGAAAATGTCACGGGGATTCCGCGACCTGCATCAGTCTTTGTTGCCAGTAACAACTCTTTCAGTTCGGCAGACGACTTGCAGTTCTGGTTTTGCGCTCCCTATGCCTTCAGGAGGACCTAATTCAACAGTATCACCTACTCTGGGCCCCGATTCTGGAGTACCTGTAACCGAGACAGATTCTCTCCAGCTACACCAACATAGTTCTCATCCTCATCAACAGCACCTCAATCTTCAGCATCAACTGATAATGATGCCGGCTTGTGTCAGTCTGTCTGCCCTTACTTGCCTTGACGCTTTTCTGCGGCCACCGTTACTCGAACCATTAGTGGCCACTCTGGCCGAGACATTAGAACATGCCCCGAGTTGGCTTGTCCGCACTCAGGCTGCACAGGCGCTTCTAGCTGTCGCCTCCCGGCTCCTGGCAGATGAAGCAGATTCGCAAGTAGCCAGACAACAACGTCGGCAACAGCGACGACGGCAGCAGCAACAACACGAAGAAAAAGAGCAAATACGTCAGAAGCGTCGACAGCAACGCAAAAAGGAACTAGATCATACATTTGATAAATTATCTACTGAGCAGTCTGAGCTTGGCTCGACTGTACGTAGGCGAATTCGTCGCTCAGCTGGAACTGAACCAACAACTGTCAGCGAAGGAGCTTATTTATATGCATCTTGCGGTGCCACAGAAAAGACTTTAGGCCCATTGGAATCGAATGATCCTTTATCTGCAGCAGAAAGAAGCACACGCACTTGCCAATCTGAGATAAAAGTAGGGGACTATAGCCGACACGAGAATGACATTGACCAGGATAAGCATTTAGTGGATGAGAATGACTATGAAGAAGAAGAAGATCAAGAGCGAGACGATGAAGTGGGAGAAGAAGGACACGAAGGTGACGATAATCCTGATGAGGGGCCTCATGAACTTAATGACGGGTCTGAGGGTGTAAGCCATTTGATATACGATGGCGCTGAACCAAATCTGACCACTCAAGAATCTGTAGAGGAAGAAGGAGTGGGTGAATATGAGGAAGACGAAGAGGATGGGGTAGAAGACGATAATTGCGAGGATGAGGAGGAGGACGAAGAATATTCTGATGAAGACACTTCTGATAGACTGGATGATGAGGAACAAAGAGATATGGACCTTCAAATGGATGCAGATGAAGTGCTGAACTTGATTGCCTGGAGGTACCTTGTACGACTTACTACGGAGGCGATTTGGCAGAGCAAACCATGGGCCTCTAAAGTAGGTTTGAATAATTTTTCGAATATTACACATACAACTTTATCTGAGATTTTGCCGAAAGTAAAATCCGTTATTCATTATTTTTTATATTTTATATTCATTCTTTCAGGTATATTTGCTGCGATCTGTGCGTCTTTTAATTGGTTTTGCTTTGGAGCATGATTTATTTTCTGAAAAGGAAAACGAAGAAATAATCGATTCAGTTAGTCATTCTTAACTTGATTATTTAAGCTAATTTATTAACTACTTTTTAAATTTATTTTCGACTTAAGTAAGTTTTTATTTCGTATGATGGCGCTCACATATTCATATAAACTTCATGCTTAGCGCTTTCCTGGATAGAGCGACACTGTGCTCATGTTTTGGCCCAGGTATTAACTCTAATCTTATGGCAAACTGATTTCATTTTTTTAATGGAATGTAAAAATTCTTTTGCCTTGCACTAAAAATTATATATTCCATTTAGAGGTGGATTGCTATTAACTTTTTTAGGACAACATTTTCCTTATAATTTCTGTTAGAAGCAGCGCTAGACTATATTGCACCATATTATTTTGGATTACTCTATTCTATACTACCCTTTGTGGTAGAATTTGTTATCCTTGGCCTAATGATCAGGGTAATAGGCTATCCCTGACTTGATTTTGTATTTAATATAATAGATGTAGTTTAAGCGCTTTCATTTTGTGGGAATATGTACGAAGAAGAGATTTAAATATTGATTCCACAAAAAGACAACACCGAATTCCTCTTTGATAGCAGCTATTTTAATTTAGTTAAACATTAGGATTTAAGCTTTCCTCGATTCAATCTCCTTCGGCTTCGTTAAAACCGTGGTAACCTTTCATCTGCAATACCTGTTGACATCACAACCGGTTTCCATTTTTATAAATAATTGACTCAGAAAAATCTCCCAAGCTTATCTTGTTTATGCATTGTTTCGATGAATTTTTCTGACGTATAGCACAATTTGGCTTGTTCATTTCATGC